CCCCCCCCCCCCACCGTGCCGTGCCCACGGAGATGCCGAGCCTGCCCTCCACAGAAAGAAAAAGGACCCAGAGAGGGCCAGGGGCACTGCCTGAAGGGAGGGGACACCGGATGGGTCCAGAAGGCTGGGCGTCTTGACAGCTGGCGAGAGGGAGGTGCCTAACATCACCCCACGTACAGGGCTTGGCAAGAGGGATCTAGGGGCTGTCCCTCCGCCCACGGCCCCGGGGACAGGCCGAGCCTGACCTTGTAGGGCATCTCCCCCGTGTGGGACACCATGTGCACCCGCAGCTCCATCCTCCGGCGGAAGGTCTCCTGGCACACGGAGCACGTGAAGACCTGGCAGTGTGAGGGGCAAGCAGGGCCGGCATCAGGGGGGGGCCTCTGCCTGCGACAGCAGCCTCTGCCCGGGCTTCCACTCGCTGCTGGGAGGAGTCTGCCCGAGGGGGGGATCGCTAGGGTGGGAGAGGGCAACACGTGACCTGCCTGCCCTGACCCTGACCGTGGCTGAGCACTGCAAACCCACCCCACAGGCTGGGGGCAGGAGCCGGGAGACCTCACCCACAGACCCCACACTGGCGACAGGCCTCTAGGAGGAGAGGGTGGGGTTCAGCCGGCCACGTCACGTGGGCCGGCCAGCAGGGTGGGGGCAGCAGCCCGTCCCCACCAAGGCGCCCCTTCTCCAGAGTCCAGGGACCCAAGCAGGCAAACTCAAAATGCTTTCCAAAAAGTCCCTCTGGGGCCGGTCCCTTCCGCCCTCGGGACCAGCGTCCCCACCTGTAATACCAGGAAGCGGACTCGATGGCATCCGCTGGAGCGGACACTCCAGCTCTCTTGAGTTTACAGTCCTAAGACGGCTTCCTGAGGGCCCCTCTCAGATGGCAGGAAGACGAAGGCCAGCGTCCCCTGCCCACAGAGTCCTGGGCCAGTGCCCGCAAGTACCTGTTCCGAGCGGTTCATGCAGTTCCGGGCTTCGTGCTCCAGGAGGTTCTCCTTCCGAAAGTAGCACTTTCCACACTTGGGACATTCAAAGGGTTTCTCCCCAGTGTGTTTCCTGCCAGGGAAAGCCACGGCGGGCGCGGGAGACTGAGTAACTGCCCGCCTCCCCCTCACCCGGTGTCCCTCTGGCTCCCCCACCGACAGCGCCGCGCTCCACAGTGCAGCGCAAGAGCGGTCCTGAGTCCGGCCACGGCTCACCACGAGGCTTGTTCAGGCCTGGCCGATGCACCTGCACGGGGGAACCCAGAAACCCTCCTCTTGTGGGAGCCCGCACAGCTCCCTACAGCGGGGCCACCGCAGGGCCACACAGGCCCAGCTGGCTAGCATCTCTGCAAAGACAGAAATGATCCCTGGGTCCTGACTTCCTAGAGAAAGCACCCGATCTGCCTGGAAGTTCTGCGGGCTTTACCTTCAAAACCGTAGCCAGAATCTGAGCATTTCACCTTACCTCCACTGCTATCACCGAGCGCAGCCATGCCACCCCTGGGTTCCCGCCAAGCCTGCCTCCCGACAGACGTGAAATTCAGCGGCCAGAGGCACCCTCAGATATAGTCAGACCTCATCGCCTCTTTGCTCCCAACCCCACGATGCTGCCCGTTTCACCGAGAGAAGGCTGGGGGCCTAGCCGGTCTGCCCCTGGTCGCGGGGCTTCACTCCCCAGGTCTGGTCTCCCTGACACTCACCGGCCCCTGGCTCACCCCAAGCTCTCTGCTCTGGCTCTCCTGGACCCACAACCCCCC